TATTTTTAAATGTTTCAAAAATCATTTCCCTTGCTCTCAGCATCTGAAACCCCGATTCATCCTCTGAACCCGATTTATTTCCTCCTTTATCTATTTTCCTACTCTGAATTTCTAATTCTTTAATTTTTATCTCGTGTTCTCTCTCTAATTGTTCTTTCCCGAAATTCCATCTCTTTTAATCGGTCTTTAGCCGCATCTGCCTCCTAACTTACACTTTTCTAGCTGCAGCTCCATTTCCTTTAACTTAATTTGAGCCTGCATGTTCTTAATAATTTCATCAGATTCTTCTGACACCCTATTTCTCCTTTTAGGACCCATATTAACTTCTGGTATTTCTTTTTACAGCTTTACCCATACAACACATAAATAACACTTAATTTTACAGGCAAACATACATATTTCACTACTACTGAATACTACCATTATTCATTTAGCAAACATTATCATTAGTGAACACAATCATGAATACCTTTCTCATATTACTATTAACATATATTACTACAACATATATTTAACATATATTTCTATTAACATATATTTCACCATATATTGTTAACACATAAATACCAAAAATTATATTAGCTTTTGAATTAGTACAAAAAAATAGTTCTGAATACATTGGCCTTACGCCGTAATACCTTACATATTCTGGAAATGAAACAAACATTTACTTATTGTTCTCAAACCATTAAACTAATTAATTTTTAATCAACCTATTAACTTTAATGACTAAAACATTTTGCCAAAACACGGCAACAACAAAAGTAGATAATTTCTACCTTAATTAGTAACATGAGCACACAATTAAATGTTTCGAAATTACTGCTGACATATTTTTGAACTATTTTAACATTCATTTAGCATACATTATCTCCTTAATAACAAAATTAATCATAATTCCTTATTTGCATATAAAATATACTTTCTAAGTGTCTACTGGCTTTAACGCCTGGCATTCTCATCATGTTATTAACCGACATTAACACAATTTTAAATTTTTCTCCGTTACTATAGTAATTATAGGGAGGGAGCTCTCTTCATTTATATTATTGTGCTTCCCAAGAAATTAAGAGGGACTTACCTTTGATCCCGATAGTAGAAAATGACGAGTTGTGCTCCATTCTGTACAATTTCCTCATCGCGCTGCATAGCACTTCACTTAATAATATCACGTGGTAATACTGATGATCACTTTTACCACACACTGGTTCCACCACACTACACGAACATTTCAATAAAAATATCACCACGGTAATACTGATGATCACTTTTACCATCACACTGGTTTCACCACACTGCACGAACATTTCAATTAATAATATCACCACGGTAATACCCCTGATGATCACTTTTCACACGACGAGGTTTCATACACCTTTCGTTTATTTGCACGTGTAGGCTTACGCGCGCCACTTTCCGTCTTTCATGACCATCTTTTGTCATCTTCCTTGCTTTCGTGAATTATTTCCTTCATTTAAACCACGTTCACTCAAATCACTTTTTACGATCTTACTTCCTTCGTATTTTTGGTGATTTCTTTTTTCCCACTATCCTGCCGACTGCGCCATTTGTCATGCCTCGCGCTCGTTCAAACACGAGGTGGGTTCTTCTGTGTAAACTTACCATAGTGGGAAAATAACAGTTGTCCGCTTTGACATTTCTTCACTAATTTATTACACAAACTGCACTATGGATACACCATACAACGAGTACACTGTAACATAAACTATATACAATATATATATACAAGGCGCGCAAAAGAAATTAAAATATATTTCTTTTTCTCTACGTTCTCACACGGCATGCTCGCCGGTCCAACTCCCCGTGCCCTCTCCGTCCAGTCTTTCTTCTCCCCACCAGCCTGCCTCGACCGGTTTTTCCGGGGTAAGTCACTTCCGTTCTTCGTCTTTCATCAGGGGAAGGAACTTCACACAACGTATTTTCTCTTCAAAAGTAGCTTGCATCCAAAATAAGATACAGCGAAAGAGGGTTTAGAATGCTAGGTTATTGGGGCAGAATACATATGAGTCAGAAATTCTTTAATTCAGGCAATGAAATTTACAGTATGTTTTTATAGCATTTTGAGTAGCTAATAATAATTAAACAATGTGATTAATATAAGAAAGTAATTTTTTTTGTATTCTAGAATAATTTAAAAGTAAGATTTATTTTAGTCTTTTTTTTTTTTTTTTTTAATATATATTAACTAAATGTGTACTTGAAACCTCCAGTTAAAAAAAAAAACAAAAACAAAAAAGAAAACAGAAAAGTAAATGAAGTAAAATAAAATAAAATATGTGTTTACGGTAGATTTGTAAAATTATTTATCAGTCAAAATGCATGTGATTAATCTTAAAATGTTTACAAGAAATTTGTTATAAATGCGTAAAAATTCCATATTAATTTATGTTTAATTAAAAAAAGGTGCATACTCCAAACATTAATTCTAATTTTTAACTTTTTTACAGCTCATGTCTTAGTCAGTTTAATAAAGGAGCGAGCCAAAACCGCTCACATAATTGTTAAAAGATATTGAAGGCAAATATTCTTATCCCCCGCCCCCCCCCAAAAAAAACTTGAAATTTCCATAAAACTTTTGGTTTATGTAAGGACAGATGATCAACTAATTTTTTTTTTTATTTTTCAGGATTTTCAGTATTTGTGGATAAAACATTTTATGAAAACAGATATTTTATTTCTTGTAGTGCTCTAATACACTCGTGTGCAAAAGTAAGAGAATTTCAAAATTATATTTATTTTTACGACAGGTATAGTTTCAAAAATACTAATTGTGATACCGAAGAATTATTCAAACATTCAGAGTCTAATACGTAAATTTGCGTACATGTACCTGTCTGTGGAGCTGTGGCTATAGAGGGCACATAAGCACACGTGGGGGTTTCGACGATTTGTGTGCTTGCACTCCTTCACGATATTTGCTGTGTTTCTCGCAAGAGTTGTTTAAATTTTGTAAAATATCAAGAAAATGAGTAGCCTAGGATATATGGGTGACGGAATGAGATGGAGAATTGACGGTAGATTGGAGGTAGGCTAATCACAAACGCAGCTGGCTACAAAGCTCAATGTAACACCTATTGTCTTTCGCAATTTATGAGGACACTCGATTTATATCCAGAAGCTCTGGAAAATGTCGACCAACACACGTCAGTGAGAAAAAGGATCGTTATTTGGCATTTTCAGCGTATACCCAGTAGACCCGCTGCTTGCGTCCCGCTCACTGCAGGACACAAACGAACGCATTTAAACATGGTGCAGACACCGCACGCTTTAGACCGAAGATCAATGCAGCACATTTTTTTACAGATTAGTCGAGATTCAGTATGGACACTTATTCACGAGTACCTGCATTCTGCACTTATTCTCGGCGTACCTGTATTAATGGTATCGTGTTCCAAAGAGAGACTATGGAACACAAAGTCCTTATAATAGTGGAAGTGTAATGGTTTGTGTAGACATTACGTTGGACAGCCAATACCCCTGGACGTGTATGATAAACCCTCCCTTACTGCTATGAAACGTCTATTCCCTATGTAGCATAGACAGGAGATCTTAGAGCCTTATGTTAAACTATTCGAAGGTACAATGGCTCCTGAGCTCCAGTTAATGGAACAAAACGCTTATCCACATAGGGATTAGCTGGTGGTCAATTACTTGGAAAATGATGATATTAGCCGCCTGTACTGGCCAGTCAGATCTTCATAGCTCCTGAATTTAACAGTAGAAAGCACGTCTGGCAATTTCATCTTGCCATCCCCATCCGAGAATCATCCCGGTGTTGCACACTAGCTTGCTGCTGGCGTGGAATCAACTATCACAGGGACTTCTCAACTGCCTCCTGTCTAATATACAATCATACTGCGCGACCTGTCTGGCTGTGAAAGAGAAACATACCTACATCAGATTCACTTTCGGTTCTATATTACGACGTGGATTTCGAACATCCCTGCATTATCAGCTTTACTGATAATCATATCTACATAAAACAACTTTTGAATGGCACATCTCTTTCTCTATTTTAAGTGTATATTCATGCCAAATTTAATTAAGATCTGTCCCTTAAATTTTCATAATTCAAATTAATGTGCAATTCTCTTAACTGTGCAATTCTCTTAACTGAGAGTACATCTTTGTTTAATAGCAAAGAGAAAATTAAATTTGTTTCATGCCAACTATTCAACTTACTAATTAACATCGTCTAGTACTTTAAAAAATGCTTGTGGTGTTAATAAATTTGCTAAACATTCATATACGAACTTCTTCTCTTTTGTAGAACAGTTGGTAAATTTGAAAGCAGTTACGATAATTCATTCCATTACCATATGATATATTGGCTGAATGAACGACTTAATACAGTCCACGTGACAGGCATAAATCACATATGCATTATGAATAGAAAATAAATAATTTGGAAGTCTGAAAAATGCAATTTTGAAAGAAATTATTTTATAAAAATAAGAGCAAAAATTTAATTGTAGAGACATTAGGTTATTTCGAAAGCAAGAGAGATTGAAAAAGGAGCAAACGCCTTCGCCGGGAATCAAACCGCGGACCTCTGGAATACGCACCCAGCGTGCAGACCACCACCACGAAGGCATGCCAAGAAAGCGGGAGAAATACCTTACAGAATAAGCAAAATTTGATCGAACTTCCTATAATCCTAAATGTTTAAATGCCTGCATCTGTTTTAAAATCATCAGATCGAAGTTTACTACGTTTCTAACGCATTTAATTTCATTTTCCTTTGCAAAAAGAATTCTTAATTTGCACAAAGCTTCAAATTCATTCATTTTTTTAAAAGAGGTTGAAGATGTAAAATATTTTTGAATTGCTTTTTTACTTTGATAAAATACTGTACCTTTTCTTGATAAAAATCTGGTAGGAAACTTCTGTATACCAAGCAGTTTTGTGTTTTAAAATAATATAAATTTCGCTCAGTTTTCCCGACGCAAGTTATTTTTACGCAATAATTTTAAACTTACCAAAATGTAGATTGAACTTCTTCTCGACTACTTTCTTGAATTTTTCAAGTTGCGTGTCTGGAACTTTCTTGTCCCACGAAAGCACTGATCGGAATCCCACAAGTTTTGAATGATCTTCTAAAAAGAAAAAAAAATATGAAGCGTTTAAAAATTATTTATTATAAGCATAATAATCAGAAACACTTCCCACTATTCACGAATTAACCCTTTAAAGGCTAAAACGCCCGAGACGCCACATTCATTCGAACGAACACAACCGCCAGAAACAACCGAGATTGCGAGGTTTTCTTCCCTAACTCTAGAGTAGGAGTACAGTAGTAAGTAGATTTTGACAGTAGGAGGTGCAGTTTCCTCAAATGCGTTGTATCAGTTTATTGTAGACAACTTGTCCCAAAAGGCTAATGGAAGCTTCTTTGTCAGGAAGTAGAATGGATGTCATTTTAAATCGTCCCACTCTTTGTGCATTAATGGAGGGGGAGGGCAGAAAACGGAAGGACGGTAATGGACGGGAACGGGCTTTCTGGTATTTTAAGGCCACTGGTGGGTTTAGTAGGATACAGGTTAGTAAAGGCTTTGGTTTTCTAGCGGTTAGTAAACTTCTCAAGATTAAAGTTTCTTGCATCATTATATCCCTCTGTTCATGATGCACCTATAACTGCCATTTCACGTCCGCAAAACTTGCAGTAATTGCCTTTCACTGTTAGGTGGCATGACAGTATTCACTAAAGACATGCACAATAGTGACGACATGTGCGACACCAACCATTCGGCGCGATGTTGCATTTTGAGCAAAGACTTTTGAGTTTCCTTCATCATAAGCAGATTCCTTTCATTGAACAAGACATTCAGATCAGATTTATCGCTCGCTGTCTCCATTGTTCCTTGCTATTCTTGTATTCCTTATTAAGATACGGTATACTCTTAAAGAAAACATTAATTTAATTAAAAAAAACATTTGCAATCTTAATCAAGTTCAGAGCCTTTCAGTGGCCAGCGCTGAAAACTGGTAGTTTGGTCCAAGGTTCGAAATCCTGCGAACGGGCTGGCTCCAAGGGCGCTTCCGTGGTTTACCTCATGTGTAGAGTGCATACAAGCCAGTTTCCCTTAGAAACTCCTCCACGAACGGCTCCTTCCTCTTAGGCAGATAGCTATCGGTGCTTTGCTGTAATCATATAAACGGAACTAAACACCATAACTATTGATAACAGCCAGCTTGACGAATTTGTAGTTGTTTGTATGTGTAAACAATTGCAGAAATTTTAGTGTTATCAGACTTATCAGAGCTTCTATCAGAGCAGTATTCGCTGATACTAACTTTCTGTTTAGCATTTCAGTATTTCTTCTTAAATTACTCATGATAACTAAAGAAGCGTGTTTCATCAAAATTATATGAACCAAATAGCAGTTTACTCTTGTTCTATAATAATATTGACAATACTCATCTAATTCTTTCTTTGCAATCGCCTCCTCTCGCATTAACTGAAACTTTCTCTGAAATGTCTCCACACATTGTCTGGAACTCAACGACTGCAGATTGTTCGTTAATCTTGAGCCTAACGCTTCTTGTTTACCCTTTAGGCACGTACGATTGATATATGGGATATGCACGGATACGTGGCACGTCTCTTGCTCTAGCATGCGGTACGTTGATTTTGGGTTTGAAATTATCGAAATATATTTCGGTTGAATTACGATTTTTATTTAATATCTGCGTTATTTTGACATTTGGCAACAAAAAATAATTTCTAAAAAAAAAAAAAAAAAAAAAAAAAAAAAAAAAAAAAAACGATTTATTATGATTAACTATGAAACTAGCTCACAGTCATTTTGACAAGTATCTTTACAGCTATGTATTCATAATACAGAATTATGAAAACAGAGCTGGAATTGTTGAAAGGGGAATAAATTTGGTAATTTATTCGTCTCATTACATCGATAATTGTCAGCATAAATTAGGAGCCTATAAAAACAATGTTTTTTGTAATTTTCCTTGTAGAGATGTTATGTTAATTGGAAAAGCCAGAGAGATGAAAAATAAGCAATTCCTTCGCCGAGAATCGAACTGCGGACCTCTGGAATACGCAGCGAGCGTGTTGACCACCACACCACGAACGCACGCCAAGAAGGTGAGAGAAATACCTTATATACCCCATTTTAAAGGGCGACTGGGTTTTAGGGGGACCCCAATCGCCAAATCCTGGGTGTGGGGAATCATCATCCACCAGCCTTTTAGTTCGGGCGCCACTGTAGAGACATTCGGCATTTTTTGGAAGTAGGAAAGATAAAAAATGAGCAACGCCTTCGCCGGGAATCGAACCACGGATCTCTGAAATACGCGCCCAGCATGCAGACCACTACACCACGAAGGCACGCCAAGAAGACGAGAGAAATACCGTATATCTTCATGAAGTCCGAAATACGCTGAAGTGTCTTTTAAATAAGTTAAAGGCAATTCAAGTTATCTTAAACGATGCGACAGACACCAAAAGAGGGAATTTACTGATTATTTTAGGAGCCCCATCCCAGCGGTAAAATCACTGAAAACTGTTAGTTTTCGGTCCGGGGTCGAATCCCAGTGAACGGGCTAGCTGTATGAGGTTTTCCCCTGTGTAACGTGTGTACGAGTCAGGTTCCCTTAGAAAGTCCTCCATGAAGGCATGTTTTCTCTTAAGCAGATAGAACAGGCTTTGTCGTAATCAAATAAACCAAACTAAAAAATGTTTTCAGGATGTATCAGGATAACGGCGTAAGAATATATGTTCCAGGAAATGTTATTTCAATGAGGATTAGGTAATAATTTAGCATTTTAAAGGGGTTTGTCCTATAAGTATTTTCCATGTACGTTTTGAATATAAGATTATACATTTACAGTTTTTGTTTGTTTGTTTGTTTACAGCTAACTCCTGATTAATCAGGAATTACGTCCGTTGTTAATCCGAAAGCAGTTAGAAAAAACACAGAAAAGAGAAATCATTCATACCTCACAATCAACAAGAAAATGGCATTCACAGTTAACGTGTATATTCAAATTGTTACGTAAATTGAACAAATAAACAAAACAAAAATAATACGCTGTAAATAGCAATAAAGTAAACATTAATAAGAAGTGAAGAAAGAAAGTTATACATGGTGTTAAAGAACAATATTTAAAAGAGAACTCGGAAGAAAATCATTGTGTTCAAACTTACGTAAGAGCCGGTTACAATATTTTGCTTTTTGACTCAATTTATCTGCTGCCACTGCTCTGAACACGTGGATTTTACTTTTACTTTCTGCATTTTGAGTGAAAAGTTTTGTTTACGCTGATGATTTAAGATTGCAAGTTTTCTATCACTCTTCGATAAACAAACTTAAATATTTTTAGACAGCATCCTGTTAATTTTTCATATACATTTTACCAGCTTTTACGGAGTGTTAGGTACCCACTGGTCCAGTAGTAAAATCGCTGAAACATTGGTAGTTAGATCTGGGTTAGATTCTAGCCAAACGGGCTGATTGCATGGATGTTTTCGTTGTTATCCTCATGTGTAATGTTAACACAAGCCAGTTTCCCTTAAAAAAAAATCTTCCACGAAGGCATTCTTCCTGTTAGGCAAATATGCGTAGCGGGCTTTTGTCCTAATCAAATAACAAACCAAAACATGAAGCTTCAGTTAGCTGAAGTTCTTATAATACAATATAATATCTATGCAAATTGGGGGAAATTAAAATTTGTAGTTAACATTCAGCAAACTTTAACTTGTTCCTGAACATTAAACACTTGTTGCGCCTCAATGAAATGATATTTTAGTCTTCACTACGCCTGCCTTCTTTGATGGAAATGAAGGAGACAAATTAGAAGAAAAACAAACTGCATTTTTAATTTGTAAAATTATACTGTCAGTTTTCCTCAGTCTTTTAAATATTTTTCAGTCTTAATATTTCGATTTTGTTATAATCTAGATTCATTTTCAGAAGCACATACACTTTTCAGAAGTAAGTTGGTTTAACTTTACATAAAAAATCATAAATATTTAGGAATTTGTTTTGTACAATATAAAGTGAATCTACTTTTATTTTCAGTTAATCTTTTCAGCTAATTTTCGAAAGTAGAATGTACCTTTCTGGATAGCATAATGTAATAAACTTACATTTTGAAAAATTTGATGTATGCCTTACATTCTGTCACGCTCCTTTTTGTTTAAAAATTTCTGACCCGCGAACTGGAGCACAAGCTGATAGCTACTTATCTATATCCTATATCTCATTTCTTAGAAGCAGAAAAAGTAAAGTTAAATTGGATCATATATTTAGTAAAACTTCTTAAGAACTGCCTCTCAAAAGGTATTTCTAAGGGAAAATAATTCATACTCATATTATTTATTTAAAAAAAAGCGAACCAAGCGAATGCACATTTTGAAATGGGAAAAAAAATAACATCTCAAAAGTTGCAACAGATTGACAACTAAATATCTTAGATAAACTGAACAAGTAGAATTGAGATTCTACTTGTTCAGTTTATCTACACCAAGATTAACATGATTATGCTAATATTCACAGGATTATTTATTTTTCGAAAGAAATCTCTTCGTTCTGTTTATTGTTTCCAATTTGCAAATTTTGTAACATAAAAAATAAGAACTGTTACTTGAGGAAGATATTTGTTGCACCCATGAAAGTAAACCATCATAAATACAACAAATATACTTTGAATAATTAAATCTTTTCCTAAGAAATCCAGTTGACAAGTATCCACCTGATATTGATTTATGACGTAATAGAAAACATATTTATGATGCAATAGCAATTTTTTTCTTTATCATATGGATTTGCCATGTAAAAAGCCGATATTATATGGAAGATTGTAATCTATAACGTTAATTTCTGGAAACTTAATTTTAAATTAATATATTGTTGTGATGAATCTCTCTTGTTTAATATCAGAACAATCCCCTGAAATTCATCTTGGCAAAGGAGCAAGAATATGACTGTCGTTGACAAGAGTCTTATGCACCAAGCAGATTACACTACGACTATGCTCTTATGCTCTCCCTCCCCCCAATTTTAAAGAACACCTCAGGGGGCCGGGTTTGAGGGTCTCCCATCTCTCTTCTCGTACCACCAACCTCTCGAGATTACTTTCAGCTCGCCACATATTTTGAGTGCCCCCATGCCACAAATAACACTATACATTAACAAACATCCATGCCTTCTAAGGAATTCGAAACCGGGTCTTTCAGCACGGTAATCGAAATTACTAACCACTGTCCCGGTCTGGCGGCTTAATTAATATGCCTTTAGTAACTACTTACCTTAAAATTGTTTCAAGCGCTAAATTAAAATTTGCATACCAAAATCAGATTGGAATTTTTTCTAATAAGTAACGATAAACTATTCAGATTTCGCGCTGTAATATGAAGTTTTAAGATTGCATTATTATTTAAAAAATTTTTACGAGTCCGAAAAATTTTAAATATTCCAGAACATAATTCAGTTGCCATAATTGTAACAGGCCTTAATTTTAAAATTAAGATTTCGTAACCCTTTGGATAGCCTCTGGAATAAAAAACAAAAATAAACGATGGTCATTTAAATAGAAGGCAAAAACAAAATGATAAATAAAAAAAATAATGTACTGTAATAAAAGATAATCATGTTCTGATAAACCAGTTTATAGCCAATATTGCGCAAGCAATTTTTCATTGATATGTTTTGCACAACGATAATTTTCACTGATATGTTTTGCACAACGATAATTTTATTAAGCCAGAATACAAACATTAGCTACATTTTTTACTCATGTCAAAGCATAATAAATAGATGTTTATATTGGAATAATTTAATTCAAACAAAGCACACAGGGTTGTCTGACTAAGCTCAATCGCAGGTTTAAGCCCGAAGGTATCGCATTGCTATTCACTATTAAGAACCTCTCAAAGGGACTTTCAGCGGGACGATTTTTAAGACCCTCCATACTGCAAAGACAATAAAATCACAAATTCACAAGCTTATCCGGGATTCACTATTAAGAACCTCTCGAAGGGACTTTCAGATGGACGATTTTTAAGAGCATCCATACTGCAAAAACAATAACATCATAAATTCACAAGCTTATCCGGGATTCAAACCTAGATCCAACAGCATTGAAATCAGTCAGACTGTACTAACCTGTATACACTGACCTTAAAAATAAAAAAATAAAGAAAAGGAATATGTATTCCATGAGTTATAAAATATTTGTTGACATTTCATTTCAGTTTTATAATTTGAGTGCCTGCGTCGATATCTTTGAAAGTTCTATTTGTCTAAATTTTCTTAATTCCAGTTCTCAAAGTTATAGTTTTTTAGAACTTAGAATTATCAGAACCTGAATCAGTTTCCAGCAGAATTTATGAATGACTTTTTTAGTAAAAATTTACACTGGATTTCAAACTTTAAAGATAGGAATTTAATGTTTAAATTCTCGGAACTTTTACTGTGTGACTACTTTGAATTTAGCTTACATTTAAAAGTTACTTGGAAATTAAATTTACTTAAATAATACAAAGTTACGATAAAAATTTCCCAAAAATTTTAATTGTTAATAGTTTTTATTATTGAAAAATAATCATTTCTTCCAACAACGAAAGCAAGCTGGACTGTAGTTACGCAGAGTAGTTATCTAAGGAAAAATAACCTTTTTATACATTACTGATAAAAAGATAAGAGAAGAACAGGAAATTCAAAAGAAAAATGCAAAAAATGTCAAAGCAATATAAGAAAGTTTGAAAAATGAGCGAGAGTCAAATGACTCAAGACAATGCGAGAAAGTTAACAGTTCAAAAACAAACCAAAAAAAGCAAGAAATTCAACTAAATTAAAAAAAATGCAAAAACGTTAAGAGTTTAAAAAAAATGCAAGAAGGTGAACTGAATCAAAAAAATGCAAGAAAGTTAAGAGCTCAAAAATGAAACAAAAAAAAAAAAAATGCAAGAAAGTCAATTGAATCAAGAAAATTAAGAGTTTAAAAAAGAAAAGAGGAGGTAACAAAAAAAAGTGGAAAAACATCAAACTGAATCAGAAGCTGTAAGTCTAAATTAAAAAAATATGAAAGAAAATTACCTTTTCTTTATTAGTAATTAATGCCGTTATTCTAATGAAATACGATGAAAATTCTATCTTCGACGAAACCGAGTATGACGTTAAAATTAGCGTCAATAATGAACACTATTTTCTATCATTATTTATGCTTGTTTCTACATTCATCAAATTTATATCGTCAATTATTACATTACAAATAATCTTAAAGGTTCATACTCACTTTTTCCCATGCTGTTCTTTCGAAGAAAATCAAAAAGGTGATATAATATAGAGAAAAATTAATCTAATTTATTTCATTGGCTTCAAATAGGTAGCATAAATAGCAGGTAACATTTTAGCTTTATGCGGACTGGAACACAGGCTGGGCTTCTTAAGAGCTACAATGCTGATAACAATTGGTATCGATAAAGTAAATAACAACAGTCCGAGACAAAAACTGTTGCTGATTCAAGCGCAATATCTCACTAGACATATACGTAATATCGTCATAGTGGAAATTGGCGCGTTGTAATATCGCTTTATCAGAAGTTTCAAAGTACTTTGTCCGACATTAAATATTAAAGTTAAAATTATCGTCATCGATAAAAATGATTAAACATTAAACTTTAGCAGTTATCTGGAAAACGATATTTCATAACATTTCGTAAAATACTTAATATTGAAAAGAAAAAAAGTAAATTTGTATCATGTATTCTTATTTTTTCCCATTGAAGTACGGTTAGTAACGTTATTTTCCTATTGGGGTTTTTATACAAAACAATATAATTAATCTATCCTTAAAATATTTAAGATCTTTTTACATCAATTAAAGCTTCTCAACGAACGATGTTCAGCATTTCCAGTTCTCCCTCATATATTTTTTCTAGTAATTCCTTTGCATAAAATTACCAAGCGCAAACTAATTATAGCATTAAGATATGCGAATACAATACAGAAAATTGGTTTGTTTTCTTTGGGGGGCAGGAAGCCAGTTCAAAATAACTCTCAAATAATTGCATTTACAGAAATATTTTTCCTAAACTTTTTGTGTTTTAAATGTTCCATTTGATAATCCTCATTCTTCCCTATCTTTTTACACCGCAATTTCAGGTTTTAAAGATTTGTTTGGGTACATTCCCATTCCTCTTGAACAGCTTCTCAAAGACCAAAATCCGGGAATGATACATCAGACGATTTAGTACGGATATGTGTGTCGACAATGTACTTAATAACCGTTTCCTGTTTCATTTTTCGAAGGAAAGTAACAGGGATTTAGACGTGTGACTGCTTGCTTTATCTTGATGCAGTTCTACTGATTGAAGGCTATGTGGGTGAAGAGAAGGTATTTCATATTTGAAAATTGCCTATAAAATATGTTCCTGATAATATGTGGAGCTGACCTTAACAGCTTTCTGCACTCTGTTTAATTTTTTGGCGTTATATCAAAAACCAACAACAGTCATAAATCCCTTTGAAAACTTCTCTTCAGATTCTTTTAATCCGCAAAAAAGTGCAAGAAAAGTGTAATTTTAGCTAAAGGGTATCCAAAGAAACATTGAACATCCCGTTATTTAGATATTTTTTATTAAACATAAACTTTTTTCTTACTAAAATTTATTAGTTATAAACTTTATTCAACGTGTCCGTATAATCATAAGAGTTTATTTTTTGAAGTTTGGGATATTTTTTAACCAAAAATGCGTTGAATAATTTCATACAAAATAAGAACTTTTAAAAAAGGTGATCTGTAGAATACGTTGAAAAAAATGAAATTATTTCAGAAGTGTTTAGTAACTGATATTGGCAAATAGAACTGGAAACCCCAGATGTCCGAAAATGGACGTGAACCACTGTGTTTAGGAAAATTTTAAACATATAGCAGTAGCTCACAGTAGTTTTTGACATATGTGCTTTTCAGTTTCATTTACAAATATTAGCTACTAAATATTACTAACATACTTTCATTTTTTCATATATACTATTGATCATCTATTTTAAAATCTGCTTGTTTTGAAAAATGTTATTCAAAACACTTTTGGTAAAAAGAAAAATTTATTTAAACGATTCTGAAAATTAACTTAAATAAGACCTCGGACATTTTAAACAAAAAGTTTATACATGTATTTGTTAAAACAATTTAATAAAAATATGCAAATAACGGGGCATTCGTTGATAACTTTCATGTGTTTTGACATGGATTTAAGTAACTTTGCAACCGTTCTTCTGCAAACACTTGTCTTCTATGAGCTAGCAGCACAACCCGATTTTTGCATTCGAAAATTGCCCACCAGCGGCCGAGCGGTAAAGACGCTGAACACTGGTAGTTCGGTCCGAGGTTCGAATCCCGCGAACGGGCTGGCTGCATGGGCGTTTTCGTGGTTTTCCCCAAGTGTAACGTGTATACGAGCCAGTTTCCCTTAGAAAGTCCTCCACGAAAGGCATCCCTCCCCTTAGATATCCCTAGTGCGCTTTGCCATAATTAAATACACACACGCATTCGAAAATTATTGTGACCGGCAGTTTACACCTGGAAAAAAGATTGAGCCGATCTCCAACACCCAAAATTTAAATTCGGGATTTAGGGTTTTTGTAAAGCCAAACCGAAATTCTCAACATTTCCTTTAACCTGGGCGCCATTTTGTATTTGTTTGTTTGCTATTTCTACAAATACAAGCGCCGGCTAGCTTTAAAAGTATTTATTAAGAGAGCAGAGGAACAGTTACAAAGAAAATTTGCATCGAAACAAAACGTACATCAAAACTAAACACCTAACATTTAGAATCAACGTTTAAAATTAACGCTAGTGTTACAGAGACACAATAATCGAGAATCCATCCTCATCGCAACTAGAGCTCGACTTACTGCAAGTTGTTCTCGTCGCCACTGGATGGCATTCGATAAAATAGTTCGATATACAACCAAATAGTTCTGCAACAACTTTTTTATGAAAGAATGGTCCATTCCTTTCGAAGGAGTACCATATTTTTTCATATTTTTTCTTACATATTTACTCCCTACATGTTTGACAGGATTTAAATTCAGAGAGAATTTAGAAGTTTGAATAATTTTAGGACAGTTTTATAAAAATCATAAGCGAATGTTTAGGGACGTATGTTTAGGATCGCTAGCTTGATAGAACTTGAATGTATTTTGCATTCTACGTTTTCCTGCAGATGCTTTCACGTTTACATAAATAGAATTATACTAATTATATTATTTCCGATAAACACAAAAATTTTATTCCATAGGCAGCAAAATGTCCACATATAATTACGTTTCTATTCCTGTGCTTAACGGTAGGCATCCGATTTCTGAAATTCAGCTCTAAATTAGTTTTTTGTTTGTAAGAACCACTTAGCTGTCTTCCAAAGTGACAGCTGAAGTAGGTGTAGAAACTACAAATGAGAAGCGTTAAAAGTACCCTTTACTAAACTCTTTAAAATTCACAACACGTTTGACGGTAATACAGTACGCTCACTCGGGAGGTAACTCAAATCACAAGAACTAAACTAAAATTCGAAGATATTTAACAAGTCGTAGAAATTTCGCTACAGGGCTCAGAAACTCCTGTTCTTTAAGGTTAAAACTGCGTCGAAATCTGGTGGAAACAAAGTAACTGCTGTTATGCCTCGTAAATCAGCAATAACTGCGTGCTACCAAATTTAAATATCCTGGCATTGACAGTTACGGAAATGAAGGCTTATAGGAAAGAACGTTAAATTAAATTGGCTATTTGAAATAAATATAAATCGCTACATGTTACATATTATTATTTCGTCCATCTGATCCAAATGTATTATTTTTTTTTTTGTTCAAATACGAATAACTTTGTTCCAGGATGGTAAAACTCTGCTTACTGTTGATTTTGGGAAAGCCAGAATTTTTTTTTTTTTTTGGACAAATTCTGTTTTTGCTGATCGGCGAGTGTATACTACATATGCCTTAAATAACTTTTCCTAAAAGTTTCAGACTTAACTCGTACTGGAAACTGTTCTTCTAAATCTGTTGAACGCTTTACAGCGTCAATTTTTGGCTTTTATTTGATTTTTCAAATAAAAGCCAAAAATTGATGTTGTTCAAACTTCAATGCATGTTCCTCGTAATTCTATCGTTATATTACATCAAAGATAGCTAACGTTTTTACATGAAGGCTATTTTCGATATTTCGTTTACTTTTACTACCTTTAGAAAGATTAATTAATAAATTCTAACAGAACTGGTAGTTAATTTATAGCCTCTTGCCGTCTTCACCTCAGATACGGGAATATTAACATACAGTTAGTCACAAAAGTCTGCGTACAGACTAAATTTTAAATTAAAAAAACACTTAAAGCATAGAAAAATGTATTTTAATCATTGCATTTTTTTTTCTTCTATTAGCTAAAATTGTAAGCTTAAATAAAAAGTAAATAATATCAGTGTAATACTTTTTACATTTTTTCAAAAACATATTTTGTCGAAAAAACTCAGAAATTCCCTCCAATAACTCTGCGTACACTTTAAAAAAAAGCAAAATATAAGTTTTTTACATTACTTCAATACTTTGTGGGATATCCTTTATTCTTCAAAACAGCTTGCAGACGTCTGGGCATTGACTGAACTAGTTTTACAGTGTCATCCGATGTAAATTTCGACCATTCTTCCGGCAATTAACTGATTAGCTTATTTCAGGACGTAATATTGTGTTTTCGAATTCGTTTCTCCAATTTTGCCCACAAATGTTCGATTGGATTGAGGTCTGGTGACGGTGGAGGAGTACGCAACTGTCTTGGAGTGTGATAGAGGAGATATTCCTTCACAATTTTAGCTGTACGTTTTGGGTCGTTGTCTTGTTGGAAAATAAAGGTATTAGAAAGGTTTAAATTTCGGGCACTGTCTCGTATATTTTTCCTCAGAATATCCAGATAAACATACTTATCCATGACTTCATCAATAATGTGAAAATTTCCAACTCCTTTCGACGACATACACACCCATACCATCACACCGCCAACTCCATGTTTGACAGTTGGATTTAATTCTCAGATTCAGTTCTCTTTCTGGTTTCTCTATACAATAGGGTGGCCATAACTTTAAATATTGTAAATTTACTTTCATCTGACCAAATTACATTGTTCCAGAAGTCCTGCGAAGAGTTTTTAAATATGTTTTGGCAAAGCAATTCTTTTCTTTCTATTTGTCTCGGAAATGTATGGCTTAGACCTAGGTTTGCGTCCAGGATAATCGGACTTTCGCAGCACTTTTCGTACAGTTTCACGAGAAATTTTCTTGTTGCTAGTTAAAAAAATGTCTTTTGCAATGCTTGCAGCAGAAAGTTTAGGATTTTGTTTAATTCGTAAAAGAATTTTTCTTTCTTCTCTCTGCGTTAGCTTCTTCGGTCTCCCACATCGTGGTTTTAAAGTAAGATTACCAGTGTCAAGATAGTTTTGAATAACTCTTTGCACACTAGGAAAATGGTTTTCCAATGGTTTACCAATAAACGAAGAGTT